AAAAAAAAAAAATAAATAAATAATAATAATAATAATAATAATAATAATAATAATAATAAATAAATAAATAAAATAATATTAATAATAATTAGATCCTTTTTATAATATGTTATGCCACTGATTAGAAAAATACTAAGTGGAAAAACCTTATTTATATTGCATGGTGGTACAAATTGTTCATAGTATAACATAACTTGAGAGCTTTTTTCCTTGTGCAGCATCCAATGTTCATTTGTGGTGTGTAATACTCTGCTATGGGGGATATTATTTATAATGATTTCATTTATATATATTTGATCATTTTCAGACCATGGATGATGGCACCAATATAATTCAGCTGGAGACTGCTGTGGGAGCAGCCATCAAAAGCTTTGAGGGAGCCATGTGTAAGTACTGGCATGAGATGGCCATCTTAACTACAACTGGATGGGGAAGGGAAGGGTGCCATGTCTGATTATTTATCTGCAAATGGGCAAAAATTTGACAGGAGAGAGAGAGACAGAGAGAAATTTCCATGTTAGGAAAAACGTTTTTTGCTTAGAGTTGTAAAAAGTGGGATTGTGGCTGTTGTAGTTATCACATGTTCAGAAAACTCCATGCTACTTCAGTCATACAAGGAAATCACATGATATAACAAGTTTTTTTCCTGTCATTAGGTGTAAACGTTCCCAGGTCACGCTTCCTGCCAGTAAAGACATCTTCAGACTTGCTCCTTGTGATGAGCAACCTGTACAGCCTGAAGACGGGTCAGCTGACCATGAGTCCCAAAAGGTCCTTCCCCTCTGTGCCTCTGGTTAAACTGGGGACTAGCTTTACAAAGGTAAGTTCATCGGGTAGTGATGAGGCTTTGCCTCTGTCAGATGGCACCAGTTGTATGCAGAAGTCAAACATGAAGGTAGACTGAAAGAGAGGGGGAGAGGTAGTCGTTTAGGCAGAGTGAAAATCTGATCTTTGTGCTGAGAGATTTAAAGTGGAGTGAACAGAAATTGACCACTTTATTTTCTGTTGACAAACTTCGTCATAGGACTGAAGTGGCAGAATTAAAGAGTTATTCAACTTATGGATACCAAGAAAATAAAATAACGCTTGCTTATTATTTTCAAATTTTAGGTGAAGGAATTTTTGTGGCGTTTTGCCAGTATTCCCAATGTGTTGGAATTGGACCATCTGACGGTATCAGGAGATGTCACGTTTGGAAAGGGAGTGACACTGAAGGTAAGGAGACCCAGGATATGATAGTCCCTTGAGATAAATATTTATAAAAAATGTCATAAAAGAATTGGAATCATATACTGTCATATTCAACTTTTTCCCTCTCCCTCCACCTCGAAAAATATAAAAAAGATAATAAAATGATAAATAATAGTAAAATTAGAAAGATAAAAATTAATAATAATAATAAAATTAATATTAATGGAAAAGATGAGAAAGATTATAAGTCCAGTCATACAAATCTTAAGATTGAACTTTTCATATGTTATAGTGAAGATATTTGGACATTTTGTACAGAACTTGTCTGGAAGGGAATGGTTGATGCTGATTTAATTGTTTTTTTTTTTTTTATTCAGGGCACGGTCATTATAATAGCCAACCATGGAGAAAGAATAGACATCCCTCCAGGAGCCATTTTAGAAAATAAAATAGTCTCGGGCAACCTCAGAATATTGGACCATTAAAAACTTGAGCAATCTCACTATAAAGGAATGTCTCCAGAATCTTGTATATATAGGATATTCAAGTTCACAATCTGGATCCAATTGCCTATTGAATGTGTTATTCATCCACTGACCGTAAGAATATTTGCTTAACTTTGCTGCCTGCTTTGAATGGCGGGGTGTTTCAGAAAGGCTTCAGAAAGTACATGAAGTGAATGGCTGATATGAAGGAAAAGGGAAATGAAGAGAAAATTTGAGGGACGGTTGGTTGAATTATTGAAAGGCATATAGTACTGCAGTCTTCAGCTACAGCTGTTACCAGCTTTAAGCATGCAGTCACCAATAAAATAAGGACCACATGACTAGATCAGCAGTGTCCTGTCAGGGGCACAGTCCATATAGAATATTTTTATCTTTTACGATAAAATTAAAATAAAAGATAAAATTAAAATGTTTGATACTGAATTTGAAGCCATACAAGAACATGAAGCTCGGACTGAAATCATTAAATAATTTATAATAAAAATACATTCATGGTATTTCTTAACTGATGTTTTTCAGGGAAAAAATGTGTTATATGCTATGTAATGGCTTATGGTAAAAAAATGGACAAGCCCATTTTAAAGTGGTCTTAGAAACATCCTTACAATAGTCAGCATCTCATAACAGAGAGATGGTTTATGTCAGTTTGGGGCACTTGCTATCAGAGCCAATGTGTTTCAAAGAAGAAGTGGTATGCCTTTTAGTTTATTGCTACGATATAACCCACATGCTGCCATTAGCCTTCAGTATGCCGTTTTAAAAATTTGAATAACAAGTAGGCAGCACAGTACTGAATGGGTTGAAAATAACCTTAAGTTGGTAGACTAAGAAATTGGCAGCATTTGTCAGTAGTTATCTTATCTGTGGGGCTTAGGTAGTCTGGATTAGGGGTCAACCACTAAATTAGAACAAGGAATTACATCAGATGTAATTCCTTGATTAGAAGTGCATTTATTAAAATGCGCTCTCATTTATTTTATGTCACGTAAATTATTTACTAATCATGCTAAAAATAGTATTTATACATTTTGTAATATGCAATGAAGGCATTTTCTTTGTTTTTCTAACATTAAATACAACAAATTGGTAATTTTTAATTTTTAAAGACCTGCCAATTTTAACTGTGCCATTTTTTTTGTGTCAAAGACACAGTGGTGTGAGGTGTAGGGTTTTAACTTGAACTTGAGATATGACATAGTTCCATAGTATAAGCTGGTTACAGTATTCCTGTTTTGTCTCGGTGTGATAATGTATTGTATTTTAATAGCAAGCTGTTGAGCACATTGCTGATATTTCTTAGTGCTGTGACCTATCTGTGCATCACGGTAGATATGCTCTAACTAAAGATGGAATCTTTGACCATTTAATTTTTTTGTGTGATTTACCCACAAATCTGTTATAATAATAATAACTGTCAACTATTTAATCCTGTTTTCACTATATACACGTTTTTGACATGGTGTATCAGTACATGAAATGGCTTAAAGATGATTGTACTGTAGCAAAATAAAGTAATAATAAATATTTATGCTACAATTGTTTTTTTGGTTTGAAGTGGCCCCTTTTTGCTAAATTAGTTTGATTTTTTCTTCGTTTCAGTTGATTTTTGTTTAAAATTTAAAGGGATAATAACTCTTCGTATGAAATCTACATTTCACAATTAAAACATTGTGAATAACTCATAGAAATATAATATATTCTGTTTTACCACAAAAACGGCAGTTATAGCTATTATTCTGATATCTGAGCTTGTCTTTAGACCATGTGACCTCCATTGATGGCAACACTCTGTTAAAATCTCTTAAGAGATTTTAACAAAAAACCAAACTTTTTAGAAGAAAAAACAGGGACTAACTTTGAATGTAAAAATGGATTCATTAACCATTGGTAAGTATGGGAAAATTGTTGTTTACTCCAGGAAAATTCATTTTTTGGCCAAAACGAAGAGTTATTATCCTTTTAAACCAAATGGACTGGTTTATTCTGACAGTTGAGATGTCACTCCCTCTCCAGATATTCTACAGCATTTAACATCTCCATTGCTCTTTTTAAGCAGCAGTGATGGCACCATTTTAATAATAAAATTCAGAAGAAGGTATGTTTAAGTGCTGGTCAAACCCAGACCTATATGTTTTATTACATCTTTATGTTCCTGATATTTTAGTATCTTAAATAACCATTCTGAAACAGACTGATGTCTTATTGATGGAATAATAAAATATTTAATATACAAAATTGCACAACACTTAGAGCCTTGGCTCTGAAAAACTAAGGAATAAAATAAAAATTAAAAGCTTTAGCCACCATTTGACAACTTAACATTTCCTTTCCCAGTGTATTATATTTAAAATGAGACCATATATTTCCCCGATTGAACACGTTGCATAAGTGGTATTATTCTACGGAGAACACAATAATATATAACTGAAACAGTAAAAAGTCTTCACTTTCTTAAAATGACAGCCATACTTTAAAATTGGAACATTGGCTAACAAAACTATTTTCACTTTGGATAGTTTACCAGGAAAATAATCTCTGGACACATTAGAATGAACTTATTGACTAGTGCAAGAGTACTTGAAAGTATAACAACTGGCGTACAAATATCACATTTAATCTAAACTTGCATTCCAATTTTGTGAGACAATTTTATCTCTCTGTTGTGTTTCAGCTGACTGAGACATTTTTGTCTCCCCCTTTCTTATCTGTCATGTCCATAAACTCTCCATGTTGTAGTCAAGGCTTCCTAAGCCTGCTAGGGACTTCATAGCACCAGTGTAGAAGGCCAGGTCTGCCATCACCAACCTATGAGGAAAAATCAAATGGTGCTTGTGCGAGTGGAATACTCCAGAGAGTCAACCTTATTTGTACAAATTTAAAAGCAAACTGCCATATATGTAGAGAAACCATATAAATGTCACCCAACTTTCCAAATCTTTTAATGTAAGGGAGATTTTAAAAACCACATTCATACTCAAATCCTTATCAAAAAGAAGAGGCATTTGGTGCTTTTCAGTTTTATTTCACAATTATAAATGGGAGGGGGGAGGAAGGCTAAAAAATTGTACCAAGTGACAGTTAAACAGTAGACAAATACAACTTTACTATATGTAGAGCACAGGGAGAGAAAATTTCTTGGTTTTGTTTGTTTTGGTGTCTATTAAAAGGAAGAATAGGTACCTCCAAAGCCAAAGAAGAAGTTATTTAAATGCCCCCCCCATACATACCCATGTTTTGGACCGTTGTCATTGCTGACTCCTAGTTTTGCCAGCTGCTGCTTCAGATGCTGTTTGAAGGCCAAATTGATACTCATAAATAAATCCTGACAATATAAGGGGAAAAAGCACTTTTAATTCATGACATGCATCTTATGTTGAGCTGTTTTATGAATTTTTAATTGATTTAGTTTATCAGTTTTGATGAATCTCTTCAACAAAGTACCTAATTACTGTTACCTGGACTTGTTGTTCTGGTAAAAGTTCATTTATGGCCTCATGGAATTTCCCAATTTGTTTGCACACCCCTCTGAAGCAGGCAGATGGCATGGGTGCTTTCACTTCCCACTGGAGTGGAACAGTAATCAAATCTTAAAGCTACAGATGTAGTACTTACATATAGAATGAGTTGCTTCTGCTGAAAGGCAGTTTTTATGTATCTACATATAAGAAATTTGAGACTGATTAACTTCATATCACTTAAAAAATATATGCAACAACTAGATCAAAATCAATTGAAAAAAAAATTATAACAAGAAAATAGACTGAAATGAAAATGAAATGAAAACAGTTGGCATTTTATATCACTTCAAATAAAATTTAAAAAGAAATCAATTCAATTCTTTTTGACTGGGCATTAAGCCAAAAACTTTATTAAGACACCCAAAAGCAATTTAATTGGAGTATTATGTATCAAAAATTAGCCCCCATGCCTCCAATTTTTCATCAATTTTGTCCAAGAGCTTTAATGAAGTTATACCAATGCCATATTCTCCTTCAGAACTGTTAAAGCATTGCATAGCACTTAACCAGAAGTAAATTAGAAAATGTTATTTAGTAGTATTCCAAGGTAATAAGTGCACTACTGTGATTTAAAGCCAAGATATATAATCACCTTTGAAAGCTGCAGCTCAAACATTCCTCCCATGATTGCCACCAATTTATTGGAAATTTCTGATATGTGGTCTTTATAGTCCTGAAAGGGAGAAGACCACTGTAGAACTACATTCATAAACACAAAGTCATTTATACAGAATTACCCCATGGCTAGTGCTTCAAAAAATAGAATAATTGCACTTGTACTTTGCATACATGCTTGCCTGTATTTTCATACACTTCAGTGCCTTACAGGTGAAATACAAGTGCAATTTTCCTATTGTTTGAAGCCTCGTCCATGGGAAAAGTTACTTGTCATCCACTACATGGGACGTACAAGGCCGACTGCACCATGATACAATTACTCTCTTGTATGTGGTATGCAGTGGGCGACTCACGTTTCAACTAGTAATTATAGCATTTCCATTTCTATCAATTGTGTTATAATAGTCCAAATATTGTTATTCAAACACAGGTAAAACCTCAGGAAAGCTTACATGATAGCTTATTTGTCATATCATTTTCTTTTATTATTATGCCATCATGATATCAAATATCATTATGTGTTATTATTATGTATCATAATAATTACACTAAATGTGATCAGCTTCCTTATGTTAAGAAATTTCTGTTTGTCTGCAGTTTCATTTCCCATGATTCTTGAAGAAAAATAGGTTTGACAATATGTTCACACTAACTAAAGAGAAAACCAAATTGAAAGCATCCTCAGCCTTCACTAAGGAGTAAATTTACCTTTAAAACTTGATCGAAGTACTTGAGCATATTGAGTTGTTTGGCAGGTAGTCTAATTTCAAAGTGAGCCTTGGCCATGGGAATGTAGAAAGCGATCAACTGTAGACATCTGGAGGCCAGGGCTGAAGTTGTAGAATTATCAACAACTATACAATGCTCAAGTATGGTTACCACATACTCCACGGCAATTGGTAGGAAATGAGGTAAGGTGTTATTGGTTTCATCTCATTATTTGTTTAGGGTTATGTATCTACCTCTTAATGTTAAACTTCTAAATTTCACGTGCTAATATTAAAAGACAGAGTGT